AAAACTTTACATTTTTCTTTAAGCTAATACATCTTTTTCTTTAACTTTCTCCTAACATAGATATTTTCAAATATACTTTCAATAATATTTTACAAATTTTAGGAATTACTTAAGCATTATATATAAAGGAAAACATACATGTTCAAACTTTAGATTAAGACTTTCTTTCAATTACAAATATCAGACCGATAAAAATCCATCCTAATTCCAATTGACTCATTAAGTTTAAGTCATTCCTTCCAATTTGTCTTCATGGAATAAAATCCCTTTCTTCTCTGGAATGTTTGTCAAGTAGTTATAAGCTTCTCTTTTTCTCAAGGATTTCTCAACCTTGTTAATGTCCATGAGGAAAAAGTCCCAAACTTGTCCTTTTGAAAGTTGCAGATTTTCTTGGAGCTCTTCTTTCAATTGTGTAGGGAGATTTATATTTAAATCATCATAATAAAAAATGATGTTGGGTTTATATTCCAAAATTACAATTGACTCCTCTGCATTGTCAGCGACTTGTCAAATTGCCTCAGTGGTTTGATAACTTACTATACATATTTGCATCTCTGAAGCAGTTTGAATAATTTTTTTGACATCCTGGTCTATGAAATGATGGATTTTATTTAAAGATTTTTCAAATACATCTCTAATAATTTGCTCCCCCTCTCTTCCTAACTCCCTCTTTAGTCAAAGAGTAGGGTTTTTTATAAGTCACTTAAGAATTGCTGGCCAATCAGGAGTCATAAAAATTGGAAAGTTTTAGCCACCCATAGCAAAGCACAACTTTCTGCCCTTATATTTCTCCATCAATTTTTTTTTTGGTAAGAACAGCTGAATGTTAAGGACAGCCAAGAAGATCATAGGAAGCTCACTCCCTGGTATTCAGGATGCTGTTTATAAACGCCATGTGCTTAGAGCTCAAAGCATTGTTAGAGACTCCACACATCCACTTTACGATCTGTTTCTGTTGCTCCCCTCTGGGAGCAGGTTTCAAAGAATTTCTAGCAAGACAACCGATTGTATAATAGCTTTGTTCCCTATGCCATCCGTCAGGTCAACTCGCAAGATTCGTTTTTCTAGCCATGCACATATATACATAACCTGAACTAGACTGTTGTTTCTCTGTGTCATATAATATATGTGGGTATATGCAATAATTCTGTATTTATTTATTTATTTATTTATTTTTGTCAAAATATTTATGTAGTGTATATTGGAGGTGGTGAATCTTTGACAGCTGAATGTAATAAAATTTCATTTTAATGTATGCCAATTAATGTACATTCAAAGTGACAATAAAGTTATTAATCTATTCTATTTTATTTTTTAAAAGAATAGTGCACACTTCCTTATTTTAGCTTGCCTTAGCAGCCTTCTTCCTCCTTGTTTAACAATGAAGAGATCGCCAAAATGGTGCAGATCTTCAAAAAGAAATAATAGGCTAAGGTTAAAGAGAGCCTCTTTTAGCTTAATAAAGATTAATAGTCATTAAAAATGATTAAGAAATTAAAGGCACAACTTACTGTATATTTGAAAAATAAGTTCCAAAATGGCTGCTTCTTCAACAAAGAACTGATTGCAGCCCCACTCCCCCAGCTGCTGGCATGCAGGTTACTTTGAAGCACAGCTCCTGAAGCTACTTGCAGACCCATTGCTGTACCGGAGGATCATGTGGGGTGATTCTAGGACTTTCGCTAATCCAGGAGAGTCATATAAACTAAGGGAATGCCAATTCCTTCTGCAGGTAAAGAAGTTATATTCTGTGGGGGGGACCTTCAGGGATCCTTCCCTGGGTGTGTCGTCAGTTGGCCATCTTTTCACCAGAAACCCAGACAGTTAATTCTTAAGTAATGTACTATTTTATTTAAGTATTTGTTTTATTAATTAATGTCTCATCTTCCATATATGAAAAGCATAAGTCAATAAATGAAAATGCTTGAAAAATTCTGTGACTTAAATAAACTATATGGTACTATCAATAGGACCTTTATTGCTTCACCATCCTGATTATTTTTTTAGATCTTTTAAATTAAAAATAATTAAATCAAAAGCTAGCAGAGACAAACTGTCAACCTGGGAGATACATTCTGCCTCCTTTTTGGAAAGAAGGGACTTGTGACCCCTTGAATTTATGTAAGCAACATCTGGTAGATGTCTATGGAGATTCTCAATCAATCTGGAGGGCAACTCCATGTTGTCTTCTTGCCAATAACATAGAAGTACTTTTCCAATGTGTCTTTTGAGATCTTTATTTTTTAGTTAAGTTTTCAGTCTTGTCTACAATATTTATATTTCTTCATGGTCTCCCATCTAAATACTAACCAGTTTCAGCTCTGCTTAGCTTTCTGAGATTGCTAATTGCTGTTACCCATTGAGGCTATTTAAAAGAACCTACCCATAAGATTCAACTGCCTGTGACTGAAGAAATAATGGAAAGGTTATTCTGATTCACTGAAACAAGCTAAGGGTCTTGGACAATTCATATTGATCCAGGAAGAATAAGAATAAAGGTAGCAATACCCCAGTTTCAATGCCCCTTTAGAAGTTCATCTCTTATACCAGCAATATCAAACAGATCTCTCCTCTGCTTTTCCCCTCTTATATGTAAGGATGGATGTGTGTATGTGTGCGTGTGTGTGTTCATGTGTATATCTTATTTTTAATGTACATTTTTAAATTGGTACTTTAATTATATTTAACATGTACATAATTTTTCTTTGAGAAGTGAGACTAAAACAAATTATATTTCTCTTCTCTGCCCCATTTCCAGCTCCATTTCTAAAGAATCTTAAGATTCACATCTTATATGATTCCACAATAGGAAACCCACAGGAGTCAGTTATATTATATTCCGTATCAATGTAAAATATAAATATAAGAAATAAATAACATAACAAGAAACAAGAAGCAACATTTTTTAATGTTTCTCATGTGCTTTTCTGAAAAGCTATGTTTTCACAGCCCTGAAACATGTAATAAGGAGAGAGCAGTCCAGGTGTCTAGGGATTGGGCTATTTCAGAGAATGAGGCCATCATTGTAAAGACTTAAGGATAGTTTTTTCCCAGTAACTGGAATCACCTCAAATTTGAGACCCTCATTAAGGGTCCATTATATTCTCAAATATATATTTATTATCTATAAAATATTAGAACAATGCCAATAGTATATTTTCAATTGTGTGTTTTTCGGTCCTCTTATCCCAGAGGTATTTTTTCACAAGGCAACTGGACTTTCTTTCCTTTTTTCTCTCTTTGAAGTCATTTGGCTTCTCATTCAAGAAGTTTCTTCAGCTCTTACTAGATGGCGGGGGATGGAAAGATTTATGCTCCTAACAGACAGCTGGTTATTTATATTCTTCAAAGAGAAAAAAGAAAGTCCAGTTGCCTTGTGAAAAAGCACCTTTGGAAAAACCATGGTCTGGATGACTGAAAATCTCATAGACATTCTGTTCTCTTACTTTTCCATTCCAATCTGCTTATCATCTCAGAGAGATGCCATGAACAGCAGATGTTCATACTGTGATCTACCACTTCTGCTCAGTACTAATTTTCAGTGTCAACTTCTACCTGCAAGCATGCATGCAATAACTTCAGACAACTTTGATTAGATTAGGAGATAAGAGGGCAAATAATCCTTGTAACATCTTCTCCTGAATAGTAAAAATAACATATTGGTAAATCCCCATATTATGGAAAAAGTAAAAAGCACCCCAACCATAGGCAACAGACAGAAACAGCCCTATTGATCAGTTTCTGGGTGATTTCTTTTTATTATTTAAGTTTTTATTGCTTTTTTAATACAATTCAACCGTGCTTATTCAACAAATGTGTCGACTGAGTTCATCATTCACTAATACAAATTAAATTCCTAATCCCTAGTTCATTTCTCCAATCATTGGTAAAATAAGTCCCAAGTTTGAAAATAATCTGTTTCTTCTTTTTCTTTCAACCTCAAAACTGAAAGACTGTCCATTTCTGCACAAATATTTTTTAAATTATTTCTTCCTCCAATGGTGTTTCTTCATTTTTCCAATATTATGCAAATGTAAGTCTTGCTGCTGTTGTCACATGCAGAATAAAACATATACTTTGTTTATCAAGCTTTTCTGGCATTATACCTAATTTAAAAAAGTTCAGATTTAAAATCTACATGTTTCCCCAGCATCGTTTCTAGCCAATTCACTTTTGGTAAAAACAACTCTCCATACATTCAGTTCTTGGTGACTTCAGGAACACAGCTACACATTATAATTTTCTTGGCAGCAATATCAGCATGATTTGCCTCTTAAGGATGTATAATCACTTTTATAGGGGTGCCTGACGAAAGGGGTCGGGTCCCAAAAGTCAAAATGGCAGGGAAAACCATGCGAAGGAAGCCCCTCTTCTTTCTACATCCATCCCCGCCCCTTTTTATGTGATTATGTGCCAACGAATCATCTGTGACTTCCAGCAATCACGTGGAGATATTTTTTCCCATGACGATCTATCTTATAAACGTGCCTCGGTTACAAAAAGGCGGGGCTTCCATCGCATGGTTCTCGCCGCCATTTTGACTTTTCTGACTCCCCTCCCTGCAGGTTTGACATCCCACGGCAAGTTCCCCGGTTCAAGCATCTTCCTTGGCCTCAAAATGCCTGAATTGACTTTGCCCTCCCCTCTAAAAGTGTATGTGCCAAGCCTCTAGCTGACCCTCTTCTGCTGTGACAAACCCTCCTCCCCCCCCGCAGCAGCCCAATAAATGAAAAGCTGTTGCCTCCTGCTTCGCATCGAGTCGGGAAGGGACGGTGACGAAAGAAAGGTGGGCAAAGGCAAACCAGCCTTTCGCTTTGCCTGGAACAGAGCGCTTTTCGTGTCGTTTGTCTCCAGTCTCTTCCCGTTTCCCACTACCGCCGCCGCCAATGTCGTACCCCTCTCTGGGGTCGGCGGATTGACACCGCTGAGACGGCCTTCCTGGCTTTCCTCCCCGACCGCGGCCCGCCCACCTGCCGGCGCACCCTCGAAGCGTCTCCGGTATGGACCGCGCGCCGCGGCGACGGCGGGAGCCTAAACAGGTAAATAGGCGCGGGCCTTTCGTCAGGCAGCGTCGGTGGCTCAGTCCGTCGTTGTGTCGAGGGGGAGGCCTGCTCGTGGCGGCGGCGGTGGCGGCCTTAGACGAGAGTGTGAAAGTAAGACGCTGTCAGGCAAGGTGCTGCTTGTCTTCGGCTATAGCAAAGGCTGCTAAGGAAGGAAGAACCGCGCTCGGTTTTACGCCGCTTGGTGCAGCAGGGCACGGGAAAGCGCCGCGGAGATGGGGACGGGGACCTTTTTAAGGTTGGGCTCCTGAAAAAATAAATCCCTCCGGAATATTCTTTATTTTGAAGGGTTGCTTTCTGAATTTTGCAAGATGTCTCAGCTCTCCTTAGGTGTATTGTTTGAAGGGGGGGGGGATATTTCTATTGTAAACTGTACGAAAAAACTTTAAAGTAACCAAGGGTTTGTGTTTAAAATAATAATGACATTTAAGTCAATCTCTGAGGTAGTGGTTAAAAGTTGTTCAGTGTCAATTGGCTGCAGCATCTTTCCCATCCCTGTCTGTAAGAGAGGCTACTAACTTAATAAAGTAACTAATAGTTTTCTGTAAGTTTAATCAGCATTGTCCCAAAACAACAGTAAGTTGGGGAGGTTTACATTATTTCAAGGATGTCTGGAGGAGATGCTGTAAGGTCACCTTTGTGGAAATGACCTTCATTAATGTGGTATCCTTGGCAGCATTAAGGGACTGGTTTGATGAGTTTCTATATTTGGAGGAGTGGGGGAAATCTAATCCAAGGGTAGGCAAAAAATAGATCCATAAATCATGTTTGAGTGATTCTCACTGACCTTCACTACATGATTAAAGTCACAACAGTTACAAGGAAGTAAGACAACTGTCTTTGAAACAGCCACTATTCTCATCACTGTCAAGAGGCATAATACCCAAATGTTATGTTATTTTCAAGTGAAGTAATCTAAAAAAATAATTAAAAGGTGTAACTATTTCCATCAGGATAAAAAGTAATCTTAAAATAATTACCTTTTGATAATGCCCCCTCCATCATTTAATTTAGTAAATTTGTTGACAATTGTGTTTAACAGTTACTGCCACTCAAACCAAGAGTTTCTGCTTATGGTTGCAATGCTGAATCAAAGTATCTGGGAGAAAATGGAGTTGAATTTATCTTCAGCAGCAGATTAGTTTCAAACTATCAGCTTTTTGAGATAGACTAGGTCAGGAAACTGAGATTGCAAAGATTACAGGAATGCTTCTTTGTTGCTCTAGGTTATAATAAAAGAATGTTGAAAGCTTGTTAGTTTCATTTTGACCTCTCTTATACCAAACAGAATTTACCAGTAGGTGGAATTACAATATTTCTTCTTCATGTTTTGCCCTGGCCTCTTATACTGCCATACAGGAATTCAGAGCTGCTTCTTTTCAGTAACAAAGGTATTTTAGCATGAACTGTTTCAGGTCATGAAACTACATTTCTATGAACTTGGACTTAGCCATCCAAAACACCGAATTTGTTCTTTGTCATCATGTACACTTGATTGTATGCTCTTGCTACATCACCTACTTCCACTTCAGCTTCACTTAATAAATAAATGGCCTGAGAGTCTCCCATAGAATTCTCTGATAAAAAGCAGAGCATTCTTTCTTCAGTGATAACAAGTCATCCAGGTCCTGAGGCAGTAAAGAATTCCCACACCATGACATCACCACCTTCATTCTTTATAGTTAGTATGAACTTCTTATTATGGAATTCAGTGTTGGTTTAAGGAGCCGTAGTGGCACAGTCGCTAAAAAAATTGAGGCCTGCTGGAGAAGACTCCTGGACTGCAAGCCAATCAAACCGGTCAGTCCTAGAGGAGATCAACCCTGACTGCTCTTTAGAAGGCTAGATCCTGAAGTTGAAACTCAAATACTTTGGCCACCTAGTGAGAAGGAAGGACTCACTGGAAAAGAGCCTAATGCTGGGAAAGATTGAGGGCAATAGAAGAAAGGGACGACAGAGAATGAGGTGGCTGGATGGAGTCACTGAAGCAGTAGTTGTGAGCTTAAATGGACTCCAGAAGATGGTAAAGGATAGGAAGGCCTGGAGGAACGTTGTCCATGGGGTCGCAATGGGTCGGACATGACTTCACAACTAACAACAAGTGGCATAGTGATTAGAATGCACTATGGCAAGCTAACTGTGCCTGCTGCCAGGAGTTTGATTCTGACTGACAAAAGGTTATTTCTGCCATCTTTCTGAGGTTGGTAAAATGACTCAGATTGTTTTGGGCAATATGCTGACTCTATAAACCATTTAGAGAGAGCTGTAAAGCACTATGAAGCATTATATAAGTCTATTGCTGTTGCTATTTAAGTCACTTTAATTTTATTTCAGTCAGAAATATGTATCTGACAGAATTAAACTATTGAGTCAAAATGTGGAGGATTAATCCACAACCTTCAGTCATTTGGAAGTACAGGTAGTCCTCAATTTACAAACAATTCATTTATTGATCACTCAAAACAGCACTGAAAAAGGTGACATATGACTGTTTTTCACACTTTCAACCTTTGCAGCATCCCCATCATCATTGATCAAAATTCATATGCTTGGTAACTGACTCGTTTGTATGATGGTTGCAGTATCCTGGGGTTATGTGATCCCCTTTTGCGACCTTCTGACAAGCAGAATCAGTGAGGAAGCCAGATTCACTTAATGTGTTACTAATTTAACAGCAGCAGTGATTCAGTTAACAACTATGGCAAGAAAGGTAAAAAATGAGGCAAAACTCATTTAACTACTATCTCACTTAGCAACAGAAATTTTGTGCTCAGTTGTCATAAGTTGAGGATCACCTGTATACATCCTTGAGATATGAGGAAGCAAATTTCAAATTAAAGCAAGTGCCAAATGTTCTTGAGAGAAGACTTTGTTACACTGGAGGTATATGCTACTTCTATATTTTTTTTATTGAAAACTCTTGTCAGGCTTGTCAATAAATACCAACATGTGACTTGGACATTGTTTATGATAATTCCATATAAATAGTTTCTGAATAAATCTGTATTCAGTCATTGATCCTTAGTGGGTGGCTCTGAGTCAAAGATATCATTTTGGTCACCAACTCTGAAGATTTTCATAGCTTTGACAAACTTAGCACCTAATGTGGCAAGATGATCTAAATGTTTATTGATGTGTGGAATCTGAATCCATCTTTAGGGTAAACGAGATATTCACAACCCCTTGGATCATCATTTCAGAGGTATTTCCTTACCAGATTCCTCAAAACCTTCCAACAATGGCAGAATGTACTTGAACAGTTTTAAAAATTGAGGGAGATATTCAGAGATGTATCAACCTTGAAAGTATTCTATGTTGAACTGTATAGCATAGTCAAAGACCAGCAAGAAAATGTTATATTTTATATAATGTAATAAAATGCTTCATGATAATTTTTATGTATAAATTATTTCATAGAATTTGCCAAATTTCAATTCAATGGGATTTATGAGTTCTGAATTTTGTACACATTCTGTACATTAGCCTATTTGAGATGCAGGTACCTTGGTTTAAAAGGTTTTGACCTATGATGCACCATTTCTCCCAGTTAAAGATTATAGACATGAACATTTTAATAATATATAGATTCAGTTTAAGGCAGTTATTAATATTAAATTATCTAATTTTGAAAGTGATTGTGTTACTATACTTTTTTTCCAACTCTGACTGCTATATTAAAATTTCAACCAACCATAGAGAACAACACTCTAAGAAAGCAGAAGATCATTTTGGATTTTGTTGACTTTTGGTTGTCTCAATTACAATATAGAATCATTCTAATTTGTGAAATTCCAGGTGATGGTTATGTTTTCTAATTACTGTGGTTCAAGTTTTGAAGATTACTATCTGATTTTCCAAGCCGTCTTTCAGCTGTCTATCATCCAGACCATTTATATTTTTCTTAAAATTGACACTGACTGATTTTTGTATTCCAAGCATCCTTTTTCTAGCTTACTGCAGGAGTCCCTCTCCTCTCCATGCACAGAAGAAAAATCTAGTGCTGGTCTGGAGAAAAGCAGCTTGGGTCTTCATGTTCCAAGCTTCCTTTCTCCTCTTCCCATAGGAGTCCCCCCCCCCAAATGAACAGAAGGGAGGGGGGATCCTTTGGCAGGCAGCAACAACTTGCAAATTTTCCTGTTGGTTTTTACATTGACTTTCTGGGGAAGCCAGCATTAAAAAATGCAAATGGTAATTACATGATTGTGGGACACTTGGCAACCAGTCATAAATGCAAACAGATTGCAAGTGCCTGAAATGTGATTACATGACTGCAGGGGATAGAGCAACAATTGTAACTTCAAGGACAGGTCATAAGTAGCTTTTTAAAAGTCTGCTGTAACTTTAAACGGTCCTTAAATGACAAGTTGTAAATAGAGGAGTACCTGTACCTGTACCCAGATTGTTGGGGGCAATGTAAATATATATATACATTGCTTACTGGTGTACACCGCTTAGAGAGTGCTTGCACTTAAAGCGGTATATAAGTCTCATAAATAAATAAATAAAATGGTTGCTGAGAAATGGGAGACCATACGATAGAATGGGAGTTCTGCATTTTCTATTCTATCACATGCAGAAAAATGTTCTGCATTTTCTATTCCAGTGGTTCTCAACCTTTTTAATGCTGCGACCCTCCCCAACCGGTCGTAAGTCGAGGACTACTCAACTGGTCGTAAGTCGAGGACTACTCAACTGGTGCAGCACCGTTTGTAGAATGGGACTTTTGGTGGGCTCAGCAGGGCAGAGACAGCCTGGACAATTCCTATTGGCTTTTGAAAGCCAATAGAATCAGACTCTATTCAAGAGAGTCTATTCTATTGGCTTTCAAAAGCCAATAGAATAAAAGGGAGTAGCACAGCTAAGGAAAAGAGGAAAAAAATGGCGGACTGCGTTGTTTGGCAACCCCCATGAAATGGTCATTCGACCCCAAATGGGGTCCCGACCCACAGGTTGAGAACCACTGTTCTATTCTATCACATCCAGTTAATGGAGTATTAGGCAGGATACCTAGTTTATGTATTAATGATTTCCAATCAATCTTTTATTATAGCTATAGACCAGAATAAAAATTAAAACATTAAAATAAAACAAAATAGAAGACAAAAATTAATAGTATGTTACAATTAACGGTGGGATCATTGATGGGTGGCCAAAATTTGCCTAATTTTACAGACAGTATAGCAGAATTTAGCTAAGTTCAAAGACACCATATCATACTGAACTGATAGTAATAGCGCTACATAAAAGAGATCAATATTTCCCAAATATTTTGTCAGGGAAGGAGTTATAAAATGAATCCATGAGTCTTTATAGGGGGCATAATATAACAGGACATGAGCTGTGACTTCAATGGTCCACTGTCCATAAGAACACAATAGCAACTTCTGTGGGACTTTATTACATTGGCCTTCCAGAACTGCTGTGGGGAGAGTATTAAAACGTGCTAGAGTTGATGCCCTCTGAAATTTAGAAACAATTACATAAGTATCTCACTGGTTTGTAAAGGGAGGCATGATTGCTCAAGAAAATATTCTTGGCTAAAGCATACAGATCCTGTTGGGCTTCCTGATCTTTAATAAGTTTTTCAAATGCACTCCAAATATCCATGGAAGAGGTTATTAAATAACTAAAAAAGGAATAAAAAGGACAAAGGTATCATTTCCTTTCAAAAAATTAAACTTATAGTTCCATAAATATATGCTAATTATAGATATTTCTCTTCATTATTACAGTACTTTTGCAGTGTAGAAATTGACATTATTGACAAGCCAGTTAAATGAATTTAAAATAATAGGATGAACTTTCATGTTATACTAGTATAGGGGAGACTACAGAAATTACACCATTTTGGCTGAGCTGCATTTTGGTTTGGGATAACAAATTGGAAGCCTAGCAATCATCCTATATGAAAAGTGCTGTTGACACGAAGTATTTTCCACATTTAAACAATTTGGTTTAAAATCTATGCTCTTTAAAAACATATATAATCTTATACTGTTTTCAAATTCTTTCATAAGATTTAGTAAATGAAGAATAATATTCATTAGTTGGCGGTAAATTGGAATGTTTCAGCTCACAATAAATCATTATACTATAAGACATACTGTAGTATAATTGTTATAGTATATCTTCAATGGACATTATATAGTTTATATTTTCACTTCATTTGGGACATATTGCAGATTCAGTAATACCTAGTTAAGGTATCAGGTATATTTCCTATCAGTGATGGCGAACCTTTTAGAGACCGAGTGCCTCAAACCTGGCCCCACCGCCTGCCTGCGTGCCACCGGACCCACTCCTGCCCACCCACAGGACCACTCACCGCCTCCATGGCCCACCAGATTGCCCAGGTGGCCCAGCGGTGCCATGGTAGCCACACCATCCACCCATGCCCCACAGCATCAGCTGCGCGCAATGGGGCACAAGGGTGGAGTCTTGTCCCTGCTGCCCAGCTGCCATGAACTTGGCTGTGCTGCTCCGCGTGGGCTGCACTCGGGGGTGACTCTCCTCGGGGAGCTGCTGGTGAGGGAGCCATTGGGGGAAGCGGGGCTGTGCCCACAGAGAGGGCTCTGAGTGCCGCCTCTGGCACCCATACCATAGGTTCGCCACCACTGTCCTATCTGAAAAAATAATTTATTATAAATTAAAAATTAATCATAATTAGATTTTAGAGTAATTCCTTCAGGACAGCTTATACCAAAACATAAAAAACATCCTTATAATTTGGGATCTGATTGTAAAGCAATGTGTTTTGGATTATGATATTAAGAACTGAATGTGAAGCATTTTCAGTACTTGCTGAAACTCATCAGCCTTGGGCTTGGTCAGAGACTTGACAGGGAACATATGGGAAACTTACATTTGCTACTAGACCTGAAAGGCAGGAAATAAAGCAGTCTGAAGTATTAGAATGATACTGCAAAGACAAGACATACTTAATTCCAGCCATTTGTTTAAGCTTGTTGAAAGGGTGTGGAAGAAGGATAAAAGTAGAACTTTATTAAGAATAAACTAGCTTGAGAATACAAGTATTGAGAATGGAAAAAGAGTGAAAAGGGGAAAGAAAAATTCTTACAATGAACACATATAATAAAATTTTGGCAGTAAAAAAATAAAAAACTTTACAAATTGAAAATATATACAATGCTAATAATATATTGAATTTTATTTTATAGCAACCTTGATTGTCCATTACCTCCCTGGATAAATCTAACGTAAGGCTCATGAACATTCAACCTTTTCCAGATTGGGTGACTTGTATAATAGAAAAGGTAAGACCTCCAATTTAATTATAAATTAAACTATTGAGTCCATTATTGCATAGTATTTCCATACAGACTGAAATGACTAATTTCCGCTGTGCTGTTGTTTTTATTATTACTACTACTACTATTATTGATTATCGCACAGTCAACCAGATGTTCAGACTGGGTTTGGCATTTTTATCTATCTATTGAGTCCTTAGCAAGGATCTGAGATAGACAGATGTGGATGTTTGATGGTGTTACAGATATCATTGCGGGATGGAAGCTGTTCTCAGTAAGGCCACTTTTTGCAATTGACTGATGACGAAGTTGTCAATGCCAACAGTGTTCAAGTGGTGCTCCAGTTGTTTTGGGATTGCACCCAAAGTGTCTAATATCCTTGCTTGCCTTTGCCACAGTCGTTCTATTTCTATTTGTAGGTCTTTGTATTTTGTTATCTTCTCCAGTTCTTTCTCGTCTGTTCTGCTGTCTCCAGGCACTGCCCCATCCATTATCCAAATTTTTTGTCTTTCTTATCAACAATTGTTAAATCTGGGGTGTTATGTGGCAGGTGCCTGTCTGTTTGAATTGTAAAGTCCCAGAGCAATTTAACTTTTTTATTTTCTATGACTTTCTCTATTTTACAGTCCCACCAGTTCTTGCTTGCAGGCAAATGATATTTCTTGCAGATCTTCCAATACACCATTGTTGCTACTTTGTCATGTTGCTGCTTTTAGTCAGTCTGTGCAATATTCTTGCAGCAGGATACCAGGTGGTCCACTGTTTCTTAAGCTTCTTTGCAGAGGCGGCACTCACTGTCTGTTGCTGCCTACAAATTCTGACTTTGTATGCATTTGTTCTTAAGGCTTGATCTTGTGCAGCCAGAATTAGTCCCTCGGTCTCTTTCTTCAACTTTCCTGCTCTTAGCCATTGCCAGGTCTTGTTATTATCTGCTTTCCCAGCTACTTTTTTAATGTACTGGCCATGTAGTGCTTTATCTTCCCATGCCTTCATTTTGTTCTTCATTTGGTCTTTCTTGTAGGCCAATTTGGCCTCTCCAATAGTCAGTAAGCTACCTGATATACTAACTTCAGTACATCTTCATCATTGTCTTTCAGATATTCTTCCAAAGCCATTTTTTCTTCTTCAGCCATCTGATGTACTTGCAACATTCTACACTCACCTATTTGCCTTGGTAGATAGAGTCTGTCAGTGTCACTACGTGGATGAAGGGCATGATTCATTGTCATTATTTTTCTGTCTTCCTATCCATTGCTTTTAGTTCTGCTTGAGTCCACTCCACTGTTCCAGCTATATATCTAATGATTGAAATTGCCCAGGTGTTGATTGCCTTGATGGTATTTCTTCCATTGAGTTTGGACTTTTTTTTTCACTCTCTTGATATATTCACCTCTAATCTTTTACTTGACTTCATTGTGCTTGATATTGTCAGCTTAAAGTATACACAGGTATTTGTAGTAGTAATCATCCTCATCCAGACTCTTAATGTTATTTTCGTGGGGCATCTCAATTCCTTCAGTTTTCACTATTTTTCCTTGTTTGATAGTGAGTGTGGCCCATTTATCCAAGCTAAATTCCATTGCAATGTCTTGGCTATTCATATGGACTGAGCCCTGTAGCCCATTTTTCATTGGATATCCAGGAACTCCAACATCTTGCATGGGCCTTGTTAACCTGGTATGGCTTTCTGAAATTTACGTCTCACCATATTTTTTATGGGAGAGACACTCTTTGTCTGACTCCTCTGATGAGACCTGTCCAGTATGGTTGAACCTCTGGCATATCTCTCATCTTCCTCAGAGTACACAAGCCCCACAACCATGTCAAGGTAGTGCCTCACTATGTAATTATTATTATTATTAATATTATTATTATCATCATCATCATCATCTATCTTAGTGACCACACTAATAGTTTTTCTCTAGATAATCTGTCCCCAGCTTCCTGCTTCAGGTCTTCCAATGATTTATTCATTGCCACTTTAATTGAGTCCATTCACCTTGTTGCTGGTCTTCTTTTATATTCAAATATCTGTCCATTCACATCCTTTAGCATACCAATGTAAGGTTGAATTCTTCTGAATTCAAAGATAGTTTCCTTTTTTCCATGCCTGTTTCTAGAATCAGTTCATTACAGAGGTTATAAAACTGCTTCATGTCTCATTAAATAATAATTTTATTAAGTTGGAAGATCTGTAATAAATACCATTTGCCTGTTGGGACCAGAAAATAAAGCAATAGAAAAATGAAGAAGCTGAAATATCCAATCAGACAAGCTCCTGCCACATAACGCATCAAATTTAATCATTGTCGATAAGAAAGACAAAGAAGTCTGGATAGTAGGTGTTTTGAAGATAGTAGAATAGAAAAGAACTGTTGGGACCAGAAAATAAAGCAATAGAAAAATGAAGAAGCTGAAATATCCAATCAGACAAGCTCCTGCCATATAACACATCAAATTTAATCATTGTCGATAAGAAAGACAAAGAAGTCTGGATAGTAGGTGTTTTGAAGATAGTAGAATAGAAAAGAAAGAACTGGAGAAAAATCACAAAATACAAAAATCTGCAAATAGAAATAGAACAACTGTGGCAAAACAAAGCAAAGGTAATACCAATAGTAATAGGTGCCTTGGGTATAATCCCAAAACATCTGGAGCATCACCTGAACACCATCAGCATTGACAAAATCACCTTTATTCAATTTTTCCAAGCTTTACTTGAAACAACTTATATTCAGCGATAATATCTTTAATACCATCAAACAACATTTGCCTATCTCAGATCCTTGGGAAAAAAGACTTGATAGGTGAGTAACAATGCCAAATCTAGTCTAAATATGTGATTGAATGTGTGACCAATCATAATAATAGTAATAAATGAAGCCAGTAACAACACACAGTTGATAAAAGACAAAACACTCCTTTTGCTAATGGCTGATCATCCAACCCTCAGTAACACTTTCTTGCTTTCTAGCCACCTCTCCTTCAAGGCTAGGGACTGGCATGGAGCTCTCCAGAGATCCCAACAGAGCGACATCAATAAACCTTCTATCATTTATCAACTCATCAATGGACCCACAGATATTTATTGGCCCACTTTTGACTCCCATTCATTTATTTACTCCTTGGTTAGTCCCATGATATATGTTGAGATGATCATTATACTTTGGGTGACCTTGGTGGGGTTAAATCCTTTTAGCATATATTCACAGTGTCCTTTGGTTATCCATCCAAACAATGCTTCAGTACAACAACAATAAGACAACTTGGTGAGACTTAAGGTGCTTTTGCTTTTTAACAGTAACCAATTTGTATTTAGTTAGTGTGTAGAGTTACAGAAATTGGAGGAGTTAGGGTTGGATGTGGTCATCCTTTTTTGTGGTATACAGAGCTCCCTCCTATTAAAATATGATGATGTGTTTTGCTGTCATTTTGAAGAGAAATTCAGAAAAACATGAAACTTAATCCATTAAATAGCTTAAAACCCCTGATCTCCTGGATTTAGAGACAAGGTTTTGAGGTCTATACCTTAAAACTTTACCTTTAAATCCAGGAAAACAAAATTTAAGATTCAGATCCTTCAGATTTTAATATGATTTTGGCCACTGTGATACCTGGACCTTCCAAATGTTAACTGTGACCTACAGCCAGCCATATATTATACACCTCTATCTTAAAATCTGTTTTTTATGCTTCAGTTAAGTCTAAACTTGCACATCTTGTATTTCTTGTATTGTCCCATATAGTCTTACGAACATTAGTTTTTCTGGTAACTCTAGTTAAGAAGTAGCTCTATTTTATTTTTAAAAAGACTTTTAAATGATTGATTCAAAACCAAATTTATGTTCTCTTCTTACGATAATATATTTTCTACAGATTATGGAATTGTATTTGATCATAATCCATTGCCACATGTTCTCATTCTCATCATGTGCAAACTTCCATGTGTGTCTGTTAATGTCACAAGAACTCCAGAGTGAGTGGAAATTCAAATGTATAATTCACAAGGAACAGACTATACTTTATATTTTAGAAGGCATAGGAAAAAACTACTTCAAAATGGGAAAACCTACCATGCAGATGACTCACACTATAGTCTTTATCTTGCTACTTAGATATTTCTTTAGCAATACTTATAAGACACATGATCCTGATGGACTCTGGGTAGAATGCAAGAAAATCAAATGGAAAAATCAGAACAAAAATAAAAGCTCAATTTAGTTAGTTAATATAATTTAAAGCGATTAATTAAAAAATAGGAATTCTTAACATTACACTAATTTATTTCAAGGGTTTACTACAGGCTGAAAGAACTCTAGCTTGTTTGTAAAATGTTAACAGGAATGTGGTCATCTGTACCTTTACAAAAGTGTTTCTCAGCCTTAGCAACTTTAAGATGTGTGGACTTCCAACTTCTTAAAGTTGCCAAAGCTGAGAAACACTGGTCTACATAAATTGTGGATCACCACTGCGGAGGCCTGTTGTCTTGTCCATGATCTATCTAGCTCAAAAGGAGAGGGATTTGCAATAGGCCCAATCTTGATATATTATTAAGATTATATATTAAATTAGTTATCTTGCATTGAAACTATTATACTGCTTATTGTTGTACTGGGTATTTTAACTTGATTAAGCATTTTTCTTAATTATCTCTTTACAATGCCCACTTTAGATGGTTCTGTTCCTAAAGTACGTCAGGGGAAAAAAAACAGTAAAAGCATTGATAAGCTATTCAGTTTTGATCTAGAACTAGACTCCCAACTTCGGGAACTTTATTTATCAGGTAATATTAATTGCACATAGTATTATAATTTCTAAGATGTTTTTAATTCTGCTTAATGTTCAGAAATACTCAGTATAAATATACAATGAGTGTATTTAGTAATATCGGAGAATATTTTTAAACGTTTACAATATATCATTAACATGTGAACGTTTCCCAGACGTATTTATCTCAAGGAACTTTTTCAAAAGTATTATATTTTGTCTTTTGTTATTTGATTATTTGCTTTTTTTCAGTTATAATATGATAAATATATAGTCTTTCCTATTTTGTGGAAGAAAATTGACTTCATGACCATTTCTTACCTCATGAATTATGAAGAATTAATGGCTTATTTTCTCCCATAGGCAAATGGACAACTGGAAAATTGAACTTCCCATTCTGTGAGGCTTGTCTTGAAGAATATAACTTTATCAGTAATACAGCATGTTTATGTGGACAGTTTACAGATATTCATCTTTGTAAAAGACAAACTGAGTGCCAGATAGCTACTAGATTACCAAAATCACAACTGAAGCACTTGTCACTTTGTAAATGCCATTTTGATTCTAGTAAAGAAAATACACAAGAGTGCTACAAGTGGAATTCTGAGAGCTGAAAATCAAAGAGTTCCATATCTGGCTAAAAGTAATGACAGTATTGGAAGATTAATGGAGGCACTTTGCCTAGAGTTGAGATCAGCTAACTTTGAGATGAATAATAAAAAACTATGCTTCAAAGTGTCTAATCTAAAAGCAAGTATTTCAGCTTCACTGGCTCAGAATGACGGATACACTGTAAAAGCTTTTCATAGAATACCACAGAGTTTGAGAAAGAGGCTTGTCTTGCTACCCACTTTATATGGAATATCCACAATTGAGAGACCTGTTTTCTCTAGGCAACATGAAACACAGCATTTTAACTCAAAAGATTGTTTACCACTGAAATCCAACAAAGTACATAATTATTTTCAGTTCCAACTTGAATCAGATACTACCAAGCTTTCAAAGAATTTTTCAGTTACGTCTTACAGAATATTAGCACAAGAAGAAACTGGGTTTAATCCTGTTTGGAAAGCTTCAAAAAGTTATCTTGAGAGTGCTGTTATTGATCAACAGCTGTTTTTACCTTCATCAAAGACTATTGCAAAAGAAAATACTCTCCAGCTGCATATCATACCTTTTTATCTTCTTCAGCCCTTCACAACTATTGATCAAGAGTTGTACAAGAAAAAAAGAAACCAGTTGAACAATTTGGAGAAAAAACATAGGTGGCAAGACCAGGTATGTATAATAATAATAATTTATAGATTATTTTAAATGAAGAATATTTCTATGAGTACTAAGTGGAGCTTTGGTGTATTGTGAAATTATTTCTGAAAGTTTCCTTGGAACTTCTAAACATAAAAATAACCTATCATATTTAACATTTATTTATCTCAATTTTAATTTCAATATTCCAGCATTTTGTTTTGTGGAACTATTCTATAATCCTCATGAAATATACATTCAATATTGTATTTATGTTTGAATATCTATTCTGAAATATAAATGCTTTCTTAGTATTTTTTTAGATATTTTGAAATTGTGACTAAAATATAAAAGTGGGTTAAAATATACAACAGCAACTGTAAATATGAGAAGACAATGGCAACAATGAGTAAAATGGATGAATAGTATCAAAGAGATTACAGGACTGTCCTTGGAGCACAGCAAGCATTTGTCCATATAGACATTAGGAATTAAACTCGATACAGTGGCCACAAAAGCAGAAATAAAAATAAATTCCAGCGTAGGAAAATATTAACATGTTCACTACAAATAAAATTGAAATGTCAGGGAGAATAAAATAGATGTTGAAAAGACAATATTAAAAAACAGTACAGCTATCTAAAGTGATATATTAGTGATAATAGAACAGTTATTAACTTACTAATTTTTAGATGAATGCTCGCCTGATCAGCTATTTGTATTGGACTCTTACAACACAAGGGGTGGCAAGTGACAAAATATGCATCAAAATATTGTGATACAAATTAATGTCCAACATCAGAGTGCGAGTATGAAAGAAACTGTTACATGACTCTTGATTGCGAGCTGCCCAGAGTTTGTTTTAAGATGGGTGGCTATATAAATGGTTTAAATAAATAAAATATAGTTTGAGAAAAATTATACAGGTTTATGCAATCTGAGGGAAAGGTTAGTAAAGTTAATGTGTGGTGGGTATGTGAGACTACAGAAAAAATTATTGGAGACCCAAGAATGAATGAAAATCATGATTGTTTGCTGAATATCTGCTTAGAAACAGGTCTGTTTCAAATGCAGGCTTTAAGTCTGTTTGTAGGTACAAATGGAAAGGAATGAATGAAAAAGATGTTTCATTCATTTATGATAAAACACTGTGAGAATTAAAGAAGCTCATCATGTTGTTTTGTTGTGTTGAATGTTGTTTTTATTGTGTTGAAATTAACTCCTGTGTAGTATGCTGGACATTCAACTTCTTCCATTCGCCCTTTTTTCTATCCTTTTAGTTAAACCATCATCCTGTAAATTAAAAACTTATACATTTTTAAAATATAAAGACATGTACAGTTGTATCAGCATTCCTGTCAGTTTTCATGTTAATAGTCCAAACTGAAATTCCCATGCTAAAAATATCTTTTTAGCATGTTAACACATAATAGTAATTATTTCAATTTCTTGAATATAAGAACTATATATATATTTTTAAAAGTCCCAGTAATGCTGCCATTTATTATGTAGCATGTGTGCATGCTATAAGTTAATCATATGACTGAGTTACATTTTTTTTTCTCTTTGGTTACCTTTTTTTTTTTTTTGTATAAAATTCTTAAGTAACATACTAACAGAAGTTTGGGGTTTTTTTTCCTAACAGCAGGGGGCACCAAATTTCCTCAAGCTGCCAAGCAACAAAAAATTGTAAATTTTAATAAATAAAATGCCACATGCTATATTGTGCTGAAAATGTTTTTTAAAGTGAAATTTAACACTATTTCATTTGTTGGCTGCAGAGTTTAAACATCATAATGCTTATATCTGGTGTTGAAATGCAGCATCTGTTAACTTTTATAAAATAAGTTGTCTCTTGTGACTGGTTTTATTGCATTTTCAAAATGCTGATGATAAATATGGGTAGCATCTTAGTCAAGGAATATTTCTGTTTCCTAAAAGCCAATGTCAAAAAACCTCAATACCATTTAATCGTTGACTGAGCTTTACAGAAGATATAAAACATGTTTCTGTTCTTAAGATCTTAATAGGTACTTTACATCAGGGCTTTTCAATCTTTTCACCTATTGTACCGCTTTTAGAATATGGCAACATTCGAGTACCACGAATCACCTAGCAAGGTGTCAAAAACTTGACCAAAAAACCTGGAAAAAAAAGATAACGTACAGGTAGTCCTTGATTTACAACAGTTTGCTTAGTGACTGTTCAAAGTTACAATGGCATTGAAAAAAGTGACTTAAGACCATTTTTCACACTTATAACCGTTGCAGCATCCCCAGGGTCATGTGATTTACATTCGGATGCTTGGCAACCGGTTCATATTTATGATGGTCACATTGTTCCAGGGTCATGTGATCACCTTTTGCAACCTTCTGACTAGCAAAGTTAGTGAGGAAACCAGATTCACTTCACAACCATGTTACTAATTTAATCTCTCTTTCTTTCTCTCTCTCTCTCCCTCTATTTCTCTTTCTCCCTCTCTCTGTCCCTCTTTCTCTCTGCCTCCCTCTTTCTCACTCTCTCTTTCTCTCTGTCCCTCTTTTTCTCCCTCTCTCTTTCTCTCCCTCTCTCCCTCTCTCCAATCGGGAATCGATTTGGAGGTGCAGAGGGGAGGGGAGCAGCCGAGGGCTGCTCGTGTAACCTTGAAGCGGCCACCTTTGGAAGTACCAATGCTGCTCCAGCCAGGCTCCAGCTGGGCAGAGCGGGCGATGGGAGAGGAATGGGCCAATCACCTTACCAGCAGCCGGGACTCCAGCACGCCTTCCTAGCCAGCAGGGCCTATGGTAGCGCCGGGATCATGTGGCTCCCCAGGAAAGGGACTTCCTGGCCGTACTTCTCAAGCGGTGGGGCGCCTGGGTGCAGGCCAATCAGGAGCCCCGCGAGAGGACAAGCCTGCATGAAGAGGGAGGGACACGATGAAGGAGCCAACCAATCGCGGGACGTAGATTCTGACGGGCAGCCAGCCTGAGCTGAGGTGCCGACAATTGCCTCCAGCCACCGCCATGGCCCAATGAGACTGCGCTCTGCCCAACAGGCAGCGCATAGTAGCCAATGAGTGTCGGGAGGGGGGTGGCGCTTGAGGGGTGGCTACTGAGTGTACAGCACCATTGTGGCTGTCAAGTCCCATGGGCTCGACATTCGTACGAGGGGGGGCGACCCACGCAGACGACCGCCGAAGCATGCAGTAGGTCGCCAGAAACGCCACGCAGGAGGAACAGCTGACGGCAACCTACCGGGCGGCGTGCAGGACACCAGCGCACCCAGGACAACCCGCCGGCACCTGATTAGAGCAGCTGGCCGGTGCTCCAGCAGCGGCGGGGATTCCCTGGTGTCATGGAACGTGGTGCAGCAACATCACCAACAGGCAGGGCATCCCAAGGAGGCCACTGGCACCTGGTTGAAGCAGCTGGCTGGCACTCCATTGTGGCCGGCTCCGGCAGCAGGGATCTCCCACAGCTTGCGCCTTCTGCTGCGGTGCCTGGATTGGTTTCCCAGCGTATGGGCATTGGAACATTCGATTGGTATCGGGAGCAGAACTCAGCAAGCTCAGAGCAAGGGAGAGCCCCCTCACCCACGGCTGTCCCCTGAGTCACCATCAGATGCCTATCGGGCAACTGGCCTGAGTCAACAAGGTGTCGGCAATTGCCTCGAGCCACCACCGCAGCCTGATGAGACCACGTTGCACCTGACAGGCATCGCATAGTGGCCAATGAGTGCCAGGTGGGGGGTGGCGCTTGAGGGGTGGTTACTGAGTGTGCAGCACCATTGTGGCCAGTTTGATCGGGAGTGGGGAGCAGAGAACTGAGCTCAGCAAACCCGGAGCAAGGAAGCAGCCTCCCCATGAGCGGCCCCCGAGTCACCGTTCTGATCAGCATCAGCAAAACAAACGTGGGCCTCGATTCCCACCTGTTGCCACGGGATGAGTCCTCCGGGAGGGCACATGCCATCTGGCCGCTTTGCTTTCCCCTCTGTAAAACTGGGCATCTCAGGAAGAGGAGAGGGAGAAAAGACCCGAGCCCCGGGAGGCAACGTGAGGGACGTGAGGGGTATCGCAAGCTCGCAGGGGGGAGAGGAAAAGAAAATCGAAGAAAGTGAGGCCGCAACAGAGAGAGAGAGAAGGGGGAAAAGGAGGGGTGATTGTGAGGTTGGCGATCAGGGCCGCGATGCAAGCGGTCTCAAACACCTACCTGTGAGTGGATAGCTCTGTTCTCTTCAGGCTCACGCTTGCTTCTGAAGTAAGAAGTCGGGGGAAAGGGCGACACGGATCCTGCACGAGTGTCTAGGGAAGGCAGGGCCTCGCTCTGCACCTGTGCTCTTCGTGCGCCCTCAGTAGGGTTCCTACAGGCCGTTACCAAGCAGCATGTTTTCAATTTCAACAAGCAAGTGAGTTGAGAAGGAGGGAGGGAGGAAGGCGATGCCGTGGGGGGAGGAAGGCGACGCCACGTACCACCAGCCAGGTGGTCGCGTACCACTAGTGGTACATGTACCACTGGTTGAAAATCCCTGCTTTACATCTTTATCAATGAGAGCTATTTTTTTTTTATGAAAACTTGTACTCAGAGTCATTTTTGGAGCTATGAAAATATTCCATGTTCCAGATCCTCAACTGTATCAAACTTGATAGGAATATAGATTTCTCAGACTGCATCCTGGAAAACCTAAATAGGAAGTTTGGTTTTCTTCTAGAAAGTTAGAAAGTACTTATTTTTATTAGATTAAATGCTCCAGAATTTGCACAATATTGCAAAAACAATCTATTAAAGTAATTTAAAGAAGCAACTCGGAACATAAAGATTCAATTCAAAAACCACTGTCATTGTTAAGAGAGAAGAAAGCAGAGGAAATGGCATTTGTTAGTTAACATCATTAGGTTAGATATTGGCCCCTACCTTCCCTGGAAAGGCATTCTTTTGAATGGAGAAACAGAATTGAGATACTAAGAAAGTAAAGTGATATCCAAGGACATCAACTGATTTTAAAAGTTTGCCTCAGGGTGAACTCAAATGCACAGAGTATGAGGAGAAGCAGCCAGT